AATATATACTCACTACTTTTCTGATCTCAAACTCAAATAACAAATATGTGTTTCATTTACATTTCTGGTCTCAAACTCAAATAACAAATGTAGTGTTAATTTTTTTTTCCCAAAAAATCCAATGTCATCGTTAATGGTCCTTTTTAAACTATATTCTTAAAATAACATGGTTTCTTGTGAGAATCTATTACAACGTAAGAAGAAGAAGAGAGAGAGCTAAGTCCAATAAGAATATATTTAAAATTGCAATTTTTAAACATATAAACGAAAAAGATTGCATAGGATCTGAGTAAGGACTATTTGCTTGGGGATGGTGAGACTTGGCATATGTTGAATGTTCTCCTCTTCCCTAAACAATAATCTGTCTTGTGTGTCGTGCAAGTCACGTGACTTCAACATTACAAATTATGTGTGCGCTTCTACACGTTGCATTGAACAATACCCCATTGTATTTAGAGCTACGGATATTTTATTTTGATTCCTTTCTCTTTCAATCCCAATGCATTTTGGAAATTATTGAGGGTTATTCTTTTGGAGTGTAACTTGAGTGTAATTTTTGAGTTAAATTTGAGTTATAACTTGAGTTGAAGTTAGAACTTGAATAAGGTTGAGTAAAATTGAATAAAGTTGAAACTTAAAAGAACGTGAAGTTGAATAAAGTTGAAACTTGAGTTGTCTTTTTTTTTTTAATTTTTGGGACAAAAGAACATGCCCTGAATGATTCTATCTTCTTCTTTTCTTCTCTTTCTCTTTTTTTTTTTTTTTTTTTGTGTAAGTAAATCCCAAGACATGGACATCCATTATTCCACCCAAAATAATTATAGACAAAGACAACACAATCAATAATTTCAATATATATTATTTAGATCATTTGCTATTGTAAAAATAAATTTTGGGAAACTTCTCTAGAAACTTTAAGTTGGGGTCACCATTTCTTGAAAAAAAAAATGATCATGTTGTTCAGTAAATATTTCCAAGATGCAATTAGATTACACCAAAACCACTTACCAACATTATGTATTAACCTATGGCCACTGAGCAACTAAGTACAACAAAAATGACTGATTAGTGGGATAAAGAGGTAAATAACATAGTTTAGAAACCGTTTTTAAATAAATAGCATGTTTTTGAGACAATTAATAAAGTAAATAACATATTTATTGATAACTATGTATTTACTTGGCATAAATATAGTATTTATTAGTAAAAAATCATTTAAAAAGTATATGTTCACTACAATTACAGATTAATAATAAACTGAAAATAATATATCACCAACCTTAGTTTTTTTGTTTTTTGTTTTTTTTTTATAGAAAATTACATCCCAATACCCTGTATTTGATCAAATTAGTGGATTAATAATTTAATGTTTAGATAATACCAAAATAGGTATCTTGTATTTCGAAAAAAAAAAATCCTTCGAGTAGCTTTTGGCCCTCTTTGGAACAAAAATATGATTATTTCCACCCTTTTTAGTGTAAAAATATATTAAAAGAAAAATATATTTAACAAGAACCCTGATCATTCTTTAAAAAAAAAAAAAAAAATACAGGCTTTTTTTCCATGAATTTTTTTAATTTTTAGAATTAAGTACAGGAGAAATTTGATATTATGCAAACACTAAAGTACCAATCAACTATTTCAATAAAATACAATATATTAAACTATAATTTTCCCCTCTTTTTCATGTGCGAATTTTCCCATTCTTGGCTGGACAGTTATTTTTCTTTTCCTGTCACTACATGTACTTCTATGGATTTGTGTACCCCCAAAACGAATAATTGAAGGGTAGAAAAATTGAAATTGGATGTGTCGGTGGAAATTGTTTTTCGAATTTCCTTGTCGTCATCCGTCGACAGCCCTTTGTATGCCTTTGGTAATTCATAAACATGTTTTAAGGGCCAATATGTGGTGGGGTCTACCTTAAAGTTGGTGCACCTCTTTGGATTCCTTCAATCAGTTTAATACGTTAGACACTGATCTATAAATGGCCCACTTTTTAATTTTAATCATGATTTAATGAGATATGCTTGATCAATGTTATCTTTAACTCTTTAGGAGCTTAAAGGTATTCATATATTTCTTTATTACCATTAATAATTTAGTATGCCAAAAAGAAAAATATGAATTGTCTTTGTTAATGGCAATATGGCATCTTAGTTAACTAGTACAATTGTCTTTGTTTGCACCTGTAATTTGTTTGTGTTTGTTTCTAAATTTTGAATGTTTATGACATATAGGAATTGTTTCACACATTGATTGCAATAAGAATGTATGTCATATATTTACATATATATATATATATATTTACCAACAGTAGGAACTAGGAAGTTCTTTGAATCAACCTTTCTCGATGTGTTTGTGAATTAGTGGATTAAATCCTTTTTTTCTATTTCCCTTAATACCTCTTGCTTAATTTTGTTTTGGCACGAGGAGGATCATAACTCCATGCACTATTAAATCTTAAGAACTGCAAATGTTTATTTCTGGTTATCTTTGTAGAATTCTTTGCTATGATTAAGGGGGAAAAAAATCTCTTAAGTGTGAAGATTTTTATTTTATTATAATTTGTTAAATTTGTGTCGCTTTTCTTTCTATGATGATTCTCGCCTTAAAAATGTGGAGATATTTTTGTATCTTGCTAAATAATCTCGTACATAATATACATTTTTTAAGCCTTTTTTTTTTTTTTGGCTTATAATGTACATTTATGATTTAGAAATGTGAGAATATAGTAAATATCATATTTATGAAATTAAATTAAATAAATAGCAGATCTTAAAACTATTTGAAGTAATAGCAGTTTATAATATAAATGTTTCACTTATGATTAGTAAAAAAAAGTTTTTTCTATGTAAATTTTCTTTTTATGACTGATAAAAAATTTTTTTGCATGTAAATAAAATTTTTTTACCATGTAATTTTATTTTTTTTATCAATCGTATATGAAACATTTACATAGTAAATTGTTATTTATTTCAAACAATTTTAAAATATGTTATTTATTTAATTTAATTTTAAAAATCTACTATTTACTATAATTTCCGTTTAAATTGTTATTTATTTCAAACAATTTTAAAATATGTTATTTATTTAATTTAGTTTTAAAAATCTACTGTAATTTCCGTTTAAAAAAAGGAATTTAGTCTCTTATTTCATCAAAATCAATAATAAGGATGCAACAAATTAATAACATGGAAAACACAAAAATACAAGAAATACCTATTTTTCCCAATGGAACAAATAAGGATAATTAAGTGCCAAATTTAAATTCTTTTTTGACTTTTTCGCTGCAGGCATCACCAAACTAAAGTTATGTCCCAAACCAAAACCACCACAAAAGCAAGCGGTGTACGTCAACAAATCTTGGCCTCTACTCTCTCTTCTTCTCTCGCATTTATATGTTTTTCTTTCTTCAGTGTCCTTTTAGGCAAATCTAGTCCTCTTTCTCTTCTATCTTTCTCTCCATTCACAAGGTGTCAAGAAATTAGCACATCAAAACAACAGGGAAATAGTGTGTCATATAGCTGTCTTTAATTCATTAGAAGGGCAATAAAGCAAAAAGAAAAAAGAGAGAAAAATACCTATCTAATATCTATTTTGTGCTTTCACAAATAAGTTAAAATACTTTATAATAAATGAGACACTTCAATATCAACTACCTATGAACATATTTTTATTTTAATACAGGATCCTTCCCATATCTATCCAAAATGAGAGGGAACGAAAATGTTCAAATTACTTGTTCAATTTCCGTGTCTAAAATGATGTTTAATCCCTGTCATACAATTTAAAAGTTGAAATTTGTTTAATTAATTAATTTATTTTAATATTTAAATCTATTAAATAACATATCATAATTCGATTTGTTAGACATTAATTAAGACATTAAATTGAACCAGTAATTTGCGTCCGAAAGGATCTTATGTAGTACCAAATGTTTAATCCAATTTACAGCTTTTAAATGCCCTAGATAAATAAAATTGCTACTTATTACAACGTGTAGTTATATCATCTCGTGCCCTTAATACATGGTTTCCATGTCTAATGAAAGAGTATAAACGTAATATTAACAAAAATAAGAAGATGGGACAAACAACTAAAATTAATATGTTCCAATCAATGTATATTATTAACTTTATATTTTATGAGATTTTTTAGTAGGATATGAACAAAAAATAGTCTATCGATTGACACTCTTTTAATTTATTATATTTTTATTTATTTCTTGTACACATTTATTTATTTTGATTTAATTTTAATCGTATGAGATTGATTGATTAGCTTATTTATTTATTAAGAATTTTTCGCATAGTCTAATTCATTAATAGTCTTAATTTTTAATCGTCTAATCGAATTAAAAATATATAAAATTAAAAAAAATATACAAAATAAATAAATTATAATACAAATTTAACGATAATAAATTACCGCTAATCTATTTGGGTTTTGGTCCTTATGGACCCCGTAATCCATTGCCTGGCTTATCTGCTGATCTTCTGACAACCAAGAAGCAAGAATTGGCAATCTTTTTGTGCCAAATGCAGCCGCAGGCAGTTATGTCCTTCTCCATTGCATGTGAAGGGATGACTTTTCACTGCCTCGGTTACAGTGCTCCTTAGATAGATCCTATAATAAGTAAACAGAAAAGTTAAAGGGAATATAAGTACCCAAAAGGCTTTAACAAGAATATTATAATAATCCCTTTAAAGGCTTTAACACAACCTCTAATCATTCAACCCTACCGAATTATCTCACTTTCGTTTTTCTTTTACCTTATTCTTTTCACTTTATTAACAACCAAAAAAATCAAAAAATATAAAAAGAGAAAAACTTAATCGGATTTTATTAATTTTACATATTTTTAGTTCAATAACGTGCGACCGCGACAGGTAAGAAGCTCCTTAACAAGAACACAGAAAAGGAAAAGACAAGAAAACCAAAATCAGAATCCAGCGACCACTGACCAGGAGGAAAAAAAAAAAAAAACACACAATCTCACCATCTCTCCCCCCCTCTCTCTCTCCTCCCCTGTTTTCTCTCTCTCTCTCTCTTTCTGTTTTCTCAATTGCTTTACAAAGGCAAAAGCGATCCCCAATGTTTCATGCCATGGCACCATCAACATCACCATCACCACCCACCGCAATCACCACAACCATTTCTTCTCCTTGAAGCCTTGTTTCTCATTGGCACTTCTAAGAGCACCCATGTCCCATTGTACTCGTTGCTAGAGAGAGAAAGAGAGAGAAAAAAAGAGAAACAAAAAAGAAAAACAGAGGATAAAAAGGCAGAAAATAATGGATGTAGGAAAGAGAAGAGTTGGGTTGAGGAGTAGTGTTGTGGTAGCCGGGTCTGTTTGGGAGAGCAGAATGAAGCATGATGAAGTCCGAGGCGGAATTAAGGTCTTCAATGGCGAAGAAAGCCCAGAAAAACAGGATCAAGAGAATGTGGCCAAGCCGAAGAGACCGCCAGCGGCCAAGAGAAAGACATGGAAATCTGAGACCCTTGAGGGGTTTGAGAAGAACCCAATTCAGATTGCGAGAGGAAAATCCGAGGAGAAGAAGAATTCCGATGAGCAAGTTAAGGAAATGAGTATTTCTGTTGAGGGAAATAAGAAAAGCCCAGTTCAGCCAAGGAGGCGTAGATCTGAAGGAAACAAGGAAATTGGGATTAGGAGGTCGCCGAGGACTGAATTGGCGAAGCCAAAATCTGATGTTGTTAAGGTTTCTGTTGAGGAAAATAAGGATGTTGTTGAGGAAATTGAGAAGAGCCCAGTTGAGAAGAAAAGTGAGGAAATTGGATCTGAATCTGATGAGGCTTGTAAGGAGTTTGGTGTGTGTGAAGAGAAGGTGATTTCTAGCAGTGTGGAGGACTCGAAATCCGAGCCGAAAGACGATGATGAGAGAGAAAGTGAGGAGGAAATTGGTGAGGAAATTGAGGTTGAAGTTGAGAAGAAGAGCATTGAAGTTAAGGAAATTGAGAAGCCAATTGAGGAGAAGCCCAACAAGTTTGTGAGTGATTGTGAAGTGAAAAAAGTCAATTTTGAGAGGAGACAAGTGAAAAAGTTTCACCAATTCCAAAATCAGCAAAAGAAGGCTGAGCCCATTTCTTTGAATGTCGAGAAACAGCCTCCTGTGCTTAGACGTGCCACACTTCATTCAAGTTTTGTTAAAGGATCTCCTACTAAATCTCCTCCAAGTAAGAAATTCTTCAAAAAAAAAAAAAGTTTGTTTGTTTGTTTGTTTTGTTTCAATTTTTTATGTCTTTTGGACTTGAATTGTGTGTCACAATATAAATGCAGCTTCAAATGAATACCATAGTTTCCCAGAAACACATAGCAGATTGCAGAGTTTTGGTGAGCTCTATTTCTTTTTTTACTTGTTACTTCCAATCCTGTTTTTGCTAATAGTTTCAATTTCTGGGTATTGATTTTTTTTTCCCTTTTCTTTATTTCAGTGGATTTGATAATGTGGAAAGATATATCAAGATCAGTTTTTATCTTTGGAATTGGGACATTCACCATACTCTCATCTTCCTACACTAAAGATCTCAACATCAGGTTAGTCAATTTTTGAAGGAAAAAAAAAAAAAGTTTCCATAATCTCTGTTTCAAAAGAGAGTCGATAACTAGAAAATCTGTTTGATCTTTCTTTTTCTTTTTTTTTTTCTCTCCTACAGCTTTATTTCTGTCATGTCCTATCTGGGTCTTGTTTATCTTGCTGCCATTTTCCTCTTTACATCCATTGTGTACAGGTAATCCCTTGTAACAACCACCATTTTTATCACATTACTTAGTGTTTTTTATTTTATTTTATAATATTCCATTTTCTTGTTTTTGGGAAAAATAAAATGGAATATTACTAGGGGAGTTATAGATATAGACTACACAAGTTATGTGCTTGGAGAAGAAGAAGCAATTTGGTTATTAAAGCTGGTGCTTCCTTACTTGAATGAGTTTCTGCTAAAGCTTAAAGCTTTGTTTTCTGGTGACCCTGCCACTACAATGAAGGTAATTTTTAGTTTATCTTTCTTTACTTTTTTTTGGGGTTTTGAGGAAAACTACAAAAGGGTATAAAGACTTGATAATTTGTGTCAATGGCAGTTGGCAGTACTGCTTTTCGTTTTGGCCAGGTGTGGCAGCTCCATAACCATCTGGACAATGGCAAAATTGGGTAAGTTCTCTCTTCTTAAAACAGGTAAAATTGATAAGGTTAGGGAGAATTTTATAATAAGTTATGAAAAAATACTCGATCAGCAGGACATGGTTGATCATATCAGATAAAATAAAGTATGAAAATTTAACAAAACTTGATAAAATATTACCGTTATTTTTTCTTACTGTAAGGTATTTTTCCGTACAGTATTAAAAAATTCTCCCAAGGTTAAACCAGTTTGTGAAATACATTTTCTTGCCCCAAATGGGCATTGATTTGCAAACTTGTTCTACTCTAATTTATGTACATTTAGTTATTGTTTTGTATTTTACTTTGCACCTTAGTTTCTAGTTTTGTTATTTCTTCCTCCTCATTTTGGTTAATTTTAAGGGACAATGACAATTCTATAGTAGAGTGAAAAAAAAAAACCCCCTCTTGAAATAGGACACAAGTCTAAACCTTGACATCTCAATCAATTATGTTAAAAGGTTTTTTTTTTTTTTTTTTAATAATTCTAATGTTGATCCGACGTTTTTTTTAATTCTGAATGAAGGTTTTAAACTTACCTTATAGCATATTTTTTCTTACCTTACATTAGGAATTCTCCCTAGAGTTAATACTCAGAGAAGTTACTGTATTTTTTTAAGCCCTTCAATTTTGTTTGTTTGCTGATTTTATCTCTCGCAGCCAAACAGTAAGGCCAGAGAACAGCCAAAATTCTCTGAATACTTATTGACTTTTGTGACATACTCACTTGATCTTGTGCTAAATTAAATGTACAGGTTTTTTTGGCGTTTTCACCGTACCAAAAGTCTGCTCGCTGTATTCTAGACAGATCACTGCATACGGTAAAATAAAATTCTTTAAACTTGAGTCTGTGTTACTTTAATGCATGAGTCACTTTTATGATTTTGTCACACGTTAATATTTGTGGAACCCAAAAAAAAAAAAAAGAAGATTTTCTCTTATAGTCTCTGAAAATAGACTGTTAAATAGTTTATTACTTTTCATCCGTCACACTTGTAACAAAATCTACATGTTTTATATATTTTTTTAATATGATATAATTTTAATTAAATTTAACGGTCAAAATTTGAAATTACCGAAGAGGCTACCAAAAAAATTCTAAAAAAAAACAACAGGACCATTTTGCAGACAACTGGTCCAAACAATATTGGACTTTCCTCTGCAGAGGCATTTGTGGTGGGACATGAAACAAAAATTCTTCCACCTTAGCTAACCCCATCCCCGTATAACGGCTCTTTTGTGTGTGTGTGTGTAATGGTGGGTTCTAACTTAGGGTAGATTTGATGGGGCCCAGTTGAATAACTATAGTATACGATGAGGTCTTAAGTCTTGTGACTTGTATGGTTACCCTTAGACTATAATTTTGATTAAGCATATGGTCTTTTATTCTTGAGTATTGCTAAACATCCCGACCCGGGTTTAGTCGGGTCAACTCGGGTCAATATGTAAGATAAAATGTGCGATATTAGTTAAGGGCTCTGTTAAGGTTAATAGTGCATTATGTAACTGTTTATTTTTTATGACCGTTGATGAGCTAACAGTGAAACTTATGTTGGTCAATGATCTATGATTACAAAATTAAACAGTTGCATAAAGTGTGGTTGTGTTTTTTTTTTTTTTTTAATTAGTTTGGGCCACGTCTAGATATTAAATAGGTTTTGGACAAGAACAAAGCAGTTGGGCCCATCCCATCAATGTGGCATGTTCAGAAGGTGACTTTGTCACTCTCGGCTCATCTAGGGCCCAGGAGACAAATCCGTTCATTGGGTCCCAATTGTTTAGGTCTCCTAGAAAAAAGAGTATTTTGGTTGTAAAATCAATTATTTACGAACAGTTTTACAATATGAGGGTTAAAGATGAGGCATGAGCACTGTACAAATAACAACTGTAAATAGTAAATTATTGTACAAATACGGCTACATTCATTATGAATAAGGAACTAAGATATGCTTTAAATTGAACAATTTTAAGGATTGAATGAAATGTCTCTTTTTCTCTCTTATTTCTCTCACTAAAATTTTTCTGGTAGTCGTACATCTAAGAGAGATGTAAGTCTATCTGAGAAATTTTAGTAAGAGAAACTAGAAAGAAAGAGAGATTTTATTCAATTCAATCCTTGAAATTGTTCACCTTGAAGTGTTTATTGGCTCCCTATTTATAATGAATGATAAGGTGCTATGCAAGCGTTATTTGTACAGTAATTTACTACTTTTTTCCTAGAAACATTAATCTACTATTTACCATCGTTATTTGTATGGTATTCAGGGACCATCTTTGACTCTTTATACTGTAAGAATATTATTTACAACATTTTGTTTATTGTTTCTTTATTGTGGGATTTTGACGTTTGATTCATGGATTCAGAATCATTCTCGATTTATGTGTGTTTTTTGTGAAAAAAATACTGTATCGAGTCACGAACTATGATTCGAATCATAATACGAATCATCATACTAAACACATATAGTCTTTGTCGTGATAGTATGGTCCAAATGGATCATTTCTGTCCTTGGTAAACATTATAGGATCCCCAAGATGATTCGGTTTCAGGTGCTTGAGCATTTTTTTAGTGCACAATGTGCTTCTAAATTATATGAATAATCTCCGTTTCTTAGCTCTCAAATCAACCGGAATATTATGATCCAAAAAATAACAACAAAATAGAACATAAATGTGAAGCAAAATAAATTTCTAGTTTGTTTTCTTTAGTATATGAAATTTAGATTCTAACAATTTACTATCAAGTTCAAATTCAACAATTTCTAAATTGCTAACATGTAAACCATATAATTCTAATGAAGGTAAATTTTGGGTTCGACGCTTTCGAGACGCTTGGGACTCTTGCTCGCACAAGAAAGCCGTGACAGTAGCCGTCTTCCTACTTGTTTGGAACCTATCCTCGATCGTTGCTCGCATTTGGGCAGGTAAAAGAAAAAAAATGGAAACGGACGTTCATTTTGTAATTTCAAGTAATTTAGGGGTTTTAATGCAATTCAATAAAAAAAACAACTTTGGTTTTCATAGCCTGTTATGACGGAGTACCATTGTTTCAGTGTTCATGCTGTATGTGGCCTTCCGATACTATCAACAAACATTAGTGAGAGATGACTGGGTGGAAGATGATGCAGAAGGCGAGGAAACGTGGCACGAGCCCATTGGAGGACAAAGGCAAGGGCATGGTTCAATTGTAGTAGACAATAATACCAAACAAAAGAAAAGATCGTAAGGATTTAAACATGTTGTGTCATTTTTCAGCAATAAAGATAAAAAAAAAGAAGATAAAATTGGTCTTCTAACGTTTACAAAGTTGTAATGTGGTTCTCATTCTTTTATTCCCCTTAGAAATAAATCCCTCAAATTTTAAAAAAGTGCAAAAGAAACTATAACCAATGTCAAAAATTTGATAGAGTGTACATGATTCACGATCGCGCATCAGCATAATACTTAGCTAAATTTTTCAAAATAATCTTAAGAAAAAAGGAATATTTATCCTACTAACCTTTGAAGACATGCACTTGTCTCATTTTGATCCCGATAGTTTTAAATGCCTAGTTATTATGAGATTTTTGAAATACCAAGTTTTGACTCCTTTGTTAGTAAATTTTATATTTTTGGATAAAATGGAGCACAAAAATGGCTCTTAAGGTAAATATACAACTGTAAAAAGACAAGTGCAATTGAAAATAAAAAAAATTAAAAAAGAAAAATTTATCTAAAATAAATAAAAAAAACCAAATTGTGCTACTCAATCAGTATTTGTTTTTCTTTCTCCTTCCAAAATAATTTTTCTTTTTTAGATATGCTTATCTCCTAAACCCATTTAATCCTTTTTAAAGCCATTTACCAGCCATTTGCGTGTTACATTTTGTCCGAAATAGTCAATTGGAGTTAAAAATGTCAAGGGCTAAAATGAGACAAATGCAAACCTTTGAGGACTAATAATATAAATAGGTCAACTAAAAGAATTAATGGGTAATTCTAATTATACCTTTTTTTTTTTTTTTAACTCTCTACACACACCTTTTTTTCTAAAAAAAATATCCACACATGTCTTCTAAATACATGTTGTGAGGTAAAATCTACCTCACCACATCAGACAACAACCGAGCTCCACATGGCCAACACCATGCCACATCAACCGACATATGGGCATTAACGGTTGAAGGGCCAGTTTTCAAAGATGAGTGCCGTACCAGTGAGAGAAGGGTCGACCGCCCCAAGGCATCTTAGAATAATTCTTGAAGGGCATCTTAGAATAATTCTTGAAAACCGTTCAGCAGGAGCAAGATTGTAGCCAGCAATGTCCAAGCTGACAGTCGACTGATCAAACAGTCAAGACGGAGACCGATCCAAAGCCCTACAAACCGACGACGCTATGGAAGAATCTATGGGGGTGAGGGTATTGTTTTGACCCACCATGGAGACCCAGTGGGGATGCAGTGGGTAGGACGTTCAGTCCTGTGACCTATATCTCGAGAGTATCCCCTGAGGTGATATGAGAGAAATCCTTAGATTACTTGTGAGCTTAAGCAAAGTCAGTAGCAGGGAAAATGATTACTAGCCTATTAGCCTCCTAAAACGGACCAGTGGAGAACAAAAAAGATCCACCAAGCCGCAATAATAGACAAAGTAGGTAGACGAAATGTCCAAAAGGTACTGCAAAGCTACAGTCTAGGCGAGTAGGATAATAGGCTACTCGAGAGAAACTGTTAGATAATCATTTGTCTCGGTTTCCTCCAATGTGCAATATGTGAGATATAAAAATGGCAAAGCCGTAGAGAGAAAGGATGATGAAAAAATGGGAGAGCAAAACCTCTGTAATCGAAGAAGAAAAGAAATAATAAAAACTTTCCCAAAGTGGATATAGCTCTTTCATTGAGAGTGAACCACTATAATTTATGGTGTTCTTATTATTCATTTATATTCTCATTGATATTCAGACCACTCTTAGGATCCACACACGACCAGTTGCATTTCTCTAGTTATCTTTACGTGTTCTAGCCGGTAACCCGACTAATTACTAGACGGTAATCCGACGTATTTCTATTGACAATATTTCACCGTCAACAATTGGCGACTCCACTGGGGATCAAAGCCAGAATCTCGGTTCGTGTGTGCGTGAAGGATCCTAGACTACCAAGAGATAATCAACAATCATGCCTCCGAGAAAACAAAGGAAACACTGCAAAACAAGGCAGTGAGTCTGGGAAAAACACCACATTCCAAGTCACCAACACAGACGGGGGGAGGGGCAGAGTTCAGCTCGACTAGGAGAATCAACCCTCGGTGAGGGATGGAGCCCCGACCTCGAGTTTGCCACAGTCTGACCCGACACAAATGTAGGCTTAGTTGAATGCACTGATTGATTTGGTTTCGCGGGCTGGTAGCCATCACTAAGCGAACGTATAGGAGAGGCTTCATGCCTCCCCTTGAAGATGGACCCCTGAGACCACCGTGCGCCACTACTACCGAGAACCAGAATGCTGGTGACCAGCGCGGTGCGCCGGAAGGGATTGGGGAGAGTGAGAATATGAGGGGGGATAACCAGAGGCCTCGACCGTCCAAGTCCCTAGGAAGCCGACATCGGGCTGCCAGACACCGAGCCTAAGAGAAGGAGGCAGCAAAGGGCTTGCAATTGCCCCCCAGGGTGCCACCTAGAGGGAACTAGGCAATAACGCCCCGAAAGACTCTGGATCGGTGCAGAGCGGTGATGCCTTAGAAACAGGCTGAATGCTAAGAGGGCTGAAGCCTCCAAAAGGGTCGACTCTGCGATCTCTACAGTAGAGGCTAGGGCTATTATGCAACGTGTGGCGAGTTTGGAAGAGAAACTCACGGGTAACGTCACCGGCTTAAAAAAAGATGTCAAAAGCTAGGTGAGTCACTTCCAAAAGAACCTAGGACAAGTGGCTGAAGTAGTTAACGTCGACATCATTCCAAGCTGAGTCCATGACCACCCGTTTATTGTAGAGATTATGGCGCCGCCCCTTCCTGACAAGTACAAATTCCCGTCAATCCCACCATACGATGGTAGAGGAGATCCTGACGACCATTTGGAGATGTACACGGGGCACATGCTCCTACATGGATATTTAGAAGAAATAATGTGCCGAGCGTTCCGAAACCACTTGACAGACTCTACCCGTAGGTGGTTCCGGACACTGAACCCAAATTCCATCTCCAGATGGGAGGAATTAAAGGAAAATTTCTCCCTTCAGTTCATCAGCATGAAAAAGTATGCCCCACCGAAGCAAAACTTGATGATGGTTTACCAAAGACCAAACGAATCGCTGAAAGACTTGTTGGCGAGGTACAGTGAAGCTGTAGCCGCTACTGCAGACATGACGGACCGGGAGGCTTTAACTGGGGTATTATCTAGCATGAAGAAAAGTACCCCATTCAAGCGTGACCTGAACCGCAAACCGCCTTCCACTTACAAAGAATTCCTGGTGAGGGCACATGGGTATATCAACGCTGAGGAACCAGATACAAATGACCCTGAGCGCATATCTAATAAAGACAAAGGAACTGAGTAAAGGTCGACGTCGGAGAAGCAGTAAATGACCCTATAGCCTCGACATTCTTCTCGAAGGCCTTAGCTGGTAAGGTCTTTATGAACGGGTCAGCCATATTGTCCTCCGACGCGATCTTGCATATTTCCACATGCCCTTCTTCAATAAAGCTCCTTATCACATGATACTTCCTGTCTATGTGCTTACTCATTTTCTGATATCTTGGTTCTTTGGTGTTAGCTATTGCCGCACTGTTATCACAATACAGTCTCAATGGCTTATCCACACCAGGAACTACTTCAAGATCCATCAGAAATTTACCGAGCCACACTGCTTCTTTTGAAGCGTCACTAGCTGCCACATACTCGGCTTCCATTGTTGAGTCAGAAGTGCAAGTTTGCTTGACACTCCTCCAAACGACGGAACCACCTCCTAGAGTAAAGACAGAACCCGAAGTCGATTTTCTAGAATCCAAACAGGATTGAAAATCCGAATATGTATATCCTAGAGGTGTCAAATCCTCCCCGGAATATATCAGCATATAATTTCTAGTCTTTCGAAGATACTTGAATATATGCTTGCCCGCTACCTAGTGGTTAGGTCTTGGATTCGACTGATATCGACTTACAATCCCGACCGCATGGCAAATGTCCGATCGAGTACAAAGCATTGCATACATGAGGCTCCCGACTGCCGAATCATAAGGTACCTTTGCCATGCATTCTCTTTCCTCAGATGTCTTGGGACAATCACTGTTTAAAAGAGTAATTCCAGACCTAGATGGTTACCCACCTTTCTTGGAATTCTGCATTGTATACTTCTCGAGAATTTTATCTATATATGAAGCATGAGAGAGAGCTATCATTTTGTTATTTCGATCTCTTAATATCCGAATGCCCAGGACATAATTAGCTTTTCCTAAGTCCTTCATGTCAAACTGTTTAGTAAGCCAAACTTTGACTGATGACAAAGCCCTTACATCATTGCCAATGAGTAGAATGTCATCAACATATAATAGTAGAAAAACTACTTTCCCGTCTTGAATATGCTTATAAACGCAAGGTTCATCCATATTTTGTTGGAATCCAAAAGTCTTGACCACTTGATCAAATCTTTTATTCCAAGAACGGGAAGCTTGTTTTAATCCATAAATGGATTTTAGCAACTTATAAACTTTCCCCTCTTGACCCTTAGCCCTAAAGCCTTCTGGTTGTACCATATATATACTTTCCTCAAGATGGCTGTTTAAGAACGCCGTCTTGACATCCATTTGCTAGATCTCATAGTCAAGAGCAGCCGCAATGGATAAGAGAATGCGGATGGACTTAAGCATGGCTACAGGCAAAAAGGTTTTCTCATAGTCGATTCCCTCCTTTTACGTGTATCCCTTAGCTACCAGTCTAGCCTTATAGGTTTCGACCTTTCCTTCTGCATTTCTCTTTCTCTTGTAGACCCATTTACACCCAATGGGCTTAATCCCATAGGGATGATCTACAAGTTCCCAGACTTGATTAAAATCCATAGATTCCATCTCAGCTTTCATGGCTTTTTTCCAGAGGTTTGCATCAACATCCTCCATAACTTCTTTGTAAGTATAAGGATCTCTGTCATGTTCCAAAGATTCTGCCAAAAAGGTCTCCCCATTGGCCATGAATCTCTCAGGTTCATGTCTGATCCTCCCATTACGCTTAAGCCCCTTAGGTTGTTGTTGGGTTTCCTTTTCTACTCGAATTCGATCGGTTTCCAAAGGAACAGTCAGTATGACCAAGTCACTCGACATTTCCTCAAGCACCACTTTGCTACGAGGCTTAAAGTCGTTTATGTAACTTTCTTCAAGG